TTTTATTTATTTTATTTTTTTTTACAGTACCATTCAAAGGTTTTGGGGTTGATAAGATTTTAAAATGTTTCTGAAAGGCATCTATTATGCTCACCACGGCTGCATGTGTTTAATCTATAATATAGTAAAAACAGTAATATTGTGAAATATTATTACAAATAATAACTGTGGAAACGGTTACATATTTTTCAAGATTCTTTGATGAACACAAAGTTGTGTTTGAAATGTAATGTTTTGTAATAATGTCTTTACTGTCACTTTTGATTAATTTAAAGCATTCTTGCTGAATAAAAGCATTAATTCCTTAAAAAAAAAAAAACTTACTGATCCCAAACTTTTAAACTGTGTATAGTAGAGAGAGAAATAAGAGAAACATCGGACTGATACTGTACATTTAGCAAAGATTTAGATTAGATCTAGATTTGCTGAGTGTAATTCAGAATTTAAATTAGTACAAGTAGTAGAAAATGTAATCACTGTGCCATCACTTACTTAAACTGCATGACATGGCTGTGCTCATTAAACCTTGTGATGATGCTAACGTCGATAAACGGCTTCGGCTCTAAAGATAAAAGGTAAGATATGGTGTGTTCATGTCCACTCACTCTAAATGTGCACTCAGAAGCGAATTAGCATAGATGAAGCATTCATATGCTAACTGGTGCTTGTACCTGAGTCTTGAACAATAGATTTTGGAAGAGGAACAGGATGAAACACAGTAGGAAATATAGCTCCCGGCAGCTGATTATCCACCTGGAACAAATAAATGGTGCACATAATAACTGAACAAATGCCAAAAATGACGGAAGTGTGATATTCAACAAGTACATTGTGTGTGGGTGTTACCTGTAGCCAATAGAGCTGTGCACGTAAACTCCTCTGGTGAGGCGACTGTTTCAACTCAATACGAATGCCAGGCAGGAAGTTTCTCCTGATAGTGCAGGAAAATGGCTGTCTCATCAACATGGGCAATCTTCCAAAGTTCACCTGTTTTAATAGACAAAAAAGATAATACGATAATGTCTAAGCATCATAATTATCTTACTAATCAAACTTTATTTCAATAAAATAATTTATTACCTCTAGGCCAGTTTCTAGTCTAGTCCAGCCTGGTTCACTCTTGCTGTTGATATGGTCCTGGTAGGCTTTCTCCAACAGTCCAATGTTCTTGTGGTTAAAGGACTTCCAGCGGTTCTTTGGTCTCATCTCCCAAACCACACCAGAACTTAAAAACACAATTCAATCATTCTTAATCATCACAATCATAATCATTGCACAAGAGTGGCATTTATGTTCCCCTTTAAAAGTCCATAATCATTATGAATTATTCATTTTACGGTTGCTGTGTGTGGGTTTAGTTACCTGGTGATGCCAATGTATGCTATCTCCTGCCTGATGTCATTGTTGATGAGTGACAGGCCCAGGTTCCTTAATGAGATGTTGACTTCTTGCTGGAACTGCTCCAGCTCCTCTGCCTGCCGTGCTTTTGAGACTATGCCAACATCCTCAGTGAAGATCAGCACCCGCTGTCGGCCATCCAGGAAAGACACCCAGTGTATCTGAACTAAGCTGCTGTAAGCAAACTGCCCGCACTCGTCCTAAAGAAAACAACATGGGAATGATATGACCAGTAATGTTAGCAGATCATTAGATTCACTAACACAGGATTTCTCTCTAACCTTTACAAGGTCCAGTTCTCCGCTGTGGACTTGACAGCTCCAGCAAAGCTTCCGCACCCCTGCTGGATCATCCCATGCAAAACGCTGAGCTTCACCTGGTCTCAGTGCCCAAGACTCCTCACAGCCTCTGCACAAGCACAGAGACACAGACAAGAGACAGGAAATATATTCACACATTCCAAAACACTGAGAGGATGATCTTAAGATGTCAAAAGTACCATTATTTTGCTACCACAGTTGATAAAAATTAGCATTTGTGTCTGATAATCATGCAGGTGTGCATATGAATGGTCAAAGGCACTTTGTTTGTCTTGTTGATTGGCTTGTCTTAAGTGAATGCATGAAAACAGCCAAGTTAAAAAGTGTCAAAATACTGTACTGAATCTGCGCATTAGACTATTTAAATTTGGCCAAACGTTTATAATTATATATATAAAATATATATAATTTAAAGTGTAAATTATTCCTGTGATGGCAAAGCTGAATTTTTAGTCCACTCCAGTATATAGTGTCACATGATCCTTCAGAAATCATTCTAATGTGCTCAGGAAACATTTCTTATTATTATCAATGTTGAAAACAGTTTTACTGTTTGTGTGGAAACAGTGATATATTTTTTTCAGGATTATTTGATGAATAAAAAAAGATCTAACAGACATCATTTATTTATATTCCTAGTAACATTTTTGTTGTTGTTTTTTTTTTTTACAATTTTGATCAATTTAATGCCATGCTTGCATAAATAAAAATAAATGTATTAATTAATAATTCATTTAAAAATCCCACTGACCCCAAACTTTTGAACTGTAATGTATTTTATTTGTTATTATTTATTTATTTTGTTTGGAATTTCTTTCTTTTGTCTTTATTTTACTACTGACTTAATAAACAATGCAATGTACTCTTCAAGTATTTATCATGTAAGTAAACATTGTTCTCATGTAATTATTTACACTATTATTTAACGTTTAAATAAAACAATGTTTTCAATAGGAATTAGTTTTTGCTATGGTATCAAAACTAGTAAAGAGATTTGTGAAATTGAGTTATTGATACTACTGACTACTGAAACCTGGGTATCGTGACAACCACAAAAAAAAATTTCATAGACTTTCTAATCAGACATAATCAGACTTTTCATTCATCTGTTTTATGAAGTAAAATACTGAAGCGGTACTGACCTCTGTCTGAAGTTGACAGTGGCTGCGGGTGTGTGATTCACAACCAATGCAGGTGCAGCTCCATCATAGTAATCAGTGAAGCTGATGACAGTGGAGTGGTCTGCGATATTCACATCCACTATCACGCCACCATACTGATGGGAACCAAGATTAGAATTAAGCGATCAATATGGTTTAATAAAGTATATTTAGCATCATGTTTACAGGCAGATCATGTTCACCTGTTCCATTCGCAGCAGAGTTCCGTTGTCCTGCTTGTTGAAGAAGAACGATTTGGAGCTAGATTCAGATCCCACAACCCGTACACACAGCTTCCCTGTGCTGGCCTCAGGCCAAAAAGGCAAACACTGTAACACACACAATCATACGGTAAACACACATATGGTGTAGGAATACTTCTGCTTTTAATAAAAGATGAATTCAGCACTGACCTCTGTGGAGGAGATGTAGTGCCATTTGCAGCTGAAACCATTGTTGTTTTGCACCTCTCCAACCTCCAGCTCAAACGAGGACTTATTGACTAGCGTGTAGAAAGGACTCATGGTAACAATCCGTGTCAGATTAAAGCTGCTCATCTGGATGCTAACCCCAACCTGGACATCAAAACAGATTTCCAACAAGTTACTTTTCTATTTTTCTATTTGGAATACCTTTGCTGCCATCTAACATTTACTTAAAAGTAAATCTTGAAAAACACTAATTAGTAAAATGTAATCTTTAACAAATCTCAGAATTAATGTCCACTTTTCATACCATATATTATATGGTTGTGATGTTCACATTACACATTACTGAATTCATCAGTAGCGCTTAGATATTTTAGTTTTTTGTGTTATATATTGTATATTTCTAATCGGCCGTACCTGAAAATAGTCTTATCAGTATCGGACAGAATTTTACCATCAGTGCATCTCTGCTCTTATTTCATTAAATGTTCAAAGCATTTACCAAGTAGTCCCCGCTTTTGTCTGGACAACGGACACATCCGTAGCTGCCAACGGTGTCCAGCGAGAAGCCATTGGACCATGAGCTGGTGGACACACAGAGCTGCAACTAAAAGGAAGAGCAGCATGTAAATTATGAAGTACTACCAGAACATTTCGTGCCAAAATCTACGGGTAAAACATGGCTTTCTGAACATTACAGCCCAACACACATTAAGGTTCATGTTGACATTCATGATTTGATTATTCTAGATATTTGGCTGATATAGCTGTACAGGTATATCCATCAAACACTGCCAAAGAGCCCAATCCAACCTTATTCTTGTTGAAGAAATTCTTCTTTCTGAAGGAGAACAGAATGACGTCTCTGAAGTCAGATGGGTGTTTCACACATGTATCCTCTGCACGATACTGCAGCACGCGGGACGTCTTATTGATGATCCAGTACGGACTGTAAACAGAGAGGACCATTTTGCCGCTCACTCGAGACACATGCACACACAGGTCCACGGTCAGTCCTTCTGGTGTGTCGCAGGTGAAGCAGATGGAAAAGAACTCAGGCATTTCTCTGCTAATCCTCATATGTCCAGTCCAGTTGCGACCTTGGTACTTGATCAAAACAAGCTCCATTATTTCACCGCCAACATTCGAATTCAGCACATCCGCCGCACTGCCCTCCTGAAGCTCGTAGAAGTCAGCAGAACCCTGTGAGAGATGTGATGTGGTTTTAATAAACGACTGCTGGCTAATATTACATTGATATCAATTCATACTGATTTTGTGATCAATACAAATGTGTCATACACAAAAGTTTGGGTTAAGATTTTTTTGAATAAAATTTATACTTCATTCAGCAAGGATGCATTATATTTTTTCAAAGTAACAGTAAAGATATTTATAATGTTACAAAAGATTTTTATCTAAAAAATGCTGTTCTGTTAAACTTTCTATTCAGCAAAGAATTGTAAAAAAATGTATGTATATATATATATATATATATATCACAGTTTCCACAATAATATTAAGCAGCAATGTATTTGGTGAGCAAATTAATAGAATGATTTCTGAAGAATTATGACACTGAAGACTTGAGTAATGGCTGCTGAAAATTCAGCTTTGCCATCACAGGAAAAAATTACATTTTAAAATAGAAAACAGTTATTTTGAATTGTAACAATATTTCACCATATTACTGTTTTTACTGTATTTTTTATTAAATTGATGCAGCCTTCCTTCAAAAACATTAAAAAATCATGCAAACCCCCAACATGTGTATGTCAAATGTGCTGACGCATTTGTGTATTAAAACTGCAATATTCTGCACCTCCAGCAGGTAACGTATTGAGTAAGGTAGCAGGTTTTTGAGAGTGACAGCTGGGTGCAGGTGGATGACGTAAGCAGGGTCCCAGTCCCCTTCCCCATGGCTGCCAATGTGGCTGAGGTCATCAGGCACGGCCAGTGTGTTCACCACCAGTGGCAGAAAGCTGCTCTCTGTTGAGGGACACCGCAGCACTGCGTGAACCTCTAAGCTCACGTGCACCTGCTCCTTCCATGCGATGCATGTGGTGGACGCACGATACAAATCTTCTAAAGGACCGACAGGCAGCAAGAACAACTGACTCCTGAAGTAATACACAGAGCACAGAAAGTTACATCATAAAGCACAAAAACAATAAAAACACACTGCCTGCAAAGAAAAAAAAAAGACTAAATTATGAAAAAAGAAAAAATATATATATCCAGCTACAGCAGGACAGAGTCGCAGAACTCTTTATTGTATTCTATTCTATTGTATTGCACACTTCATTTCCAGCGATATCGTTGACTTGATTGCAAATGATTGCAAAGATGCTATTTAAACTGAACTGAGCTGGATGATGACATCACTGAATTCAATGATGAACTGCCTTTAACTGAAAAATGAGTGTTTACTATTGTCATTTTGCATTATTGACACACTATTTTCCTAATTAATGCTGTTCAGTTGCTTTGACACAATCTGTATTGTTAAAAGCGCTATATAAATAAAGGTGACTTGACTTGACTTGTATTGTTTTGGACAATTTTTTTAGGTTTTTGTTTTAGCTTTGTATTAATATTCACCCTGAGATGGCTAATTAAAGCTAAAGTTATCCAACCAAGAGCAGTTATGTGGCAAAAATCATAAGTATGTTTTTTTTTTAATGTGTGTGTGTTTAATTTATATTCTCCAATTAGCAATTTTTTTTTATGTGTGTGTTTAATTTATATTCTCCAATTAGCAATTTCATATAATGTAAATGTAATCTAAAGCCCCCGGTGCATTAAATAAGCAACTTGCAAGTGTTTCTGTTTGGATTAGTTCACATGAAATTAGTTAATAACGAAGCATAAAGTTGATTCTAGACTATCATTGAGCATGTGCTCCACATGTGTATGCCTAGGTTGAAAAACTATAAGTTTGACACCTCTGATATAGTGACTGGATTGTAAATATGCATGATATGTAGTCAAAGATCTTCTTTACAGTTGCTCCTAATGATATTTGACTCATATGAATGCAAAATTCACTCAAATGAAGTGAGCAATTACACTTCTCCTCCATTTATACCTGTAAGCTTCTAGAGGAACATGACACTCCTTCTCAGGCTCAGCAACCCCTACATTCACCATCACTCCAAGTTCAGAAGAATACTTCAGAATGGCAAAAGGCACCGAGAAATGGTTTTTTATCTGTTAACACATAAAAAAGAAATCAATGTCACAGTGATTTGGACAGGGTCATTTTCACTAATGATTTCTTTATCCAGACAAGTAAACAGATGTATGCACTCTGCAGGTAAAGTGAGCAGACGAACCTGTAGGGGGGACCGTACTGTGATGACCTTGTTGCCCTCGCTGGCATCGATCTGAAGCAGTACAGACACAGCATCCATGGGTCCTCTGACATTATACAGTCTACGGCCAGGCTTACCCAACGGGATATTTGTAATCTCACTGTAACCTGAGGGAACTGCACAGGGGACATTTATGAATTAGCATACTGCATTTACCTATAATTCATGACCTAAAAATTATTAGACTATAGCTGAAATATTATAGGATAATATCAAAAATATATAAAGCTAATTTAACAAATAGAACAACCAGATCTGACTTCTTTTATTTTTGTATGGGAATTTAGGCTGTTCAAAACTTAAAGAGTGACCTACAAAGACAGTATTTTTGGGGATTATAGACATGCTTGAACTTTCTAAGAGCATATTATGCCCAGAAAATGCTGTCTAGGTAGGCAGTTCACTAGGTTTTGAGGCATTACCCAAGGCATTTGTACAGTTTACAAGGTGTATATTGTCCGTGTTACTGACCTATGCTGAGATTGAATAAGCAGCTTTCCTGCCTCTGCAGGGCAGACAGTCGTGAAGAACACTCAAAGGATGAATGTTCTAAATCCACACTTTTATCCACGGCCAATTCATGCAGTTTACCCCACGTGGAAGAGCCAGTCAAACGCAGGTTAGCACTGTGCTGAACAATGAGAGGAATGCCTGATGCATTGCGGATGGTGTAGGGGGATTTCTCCTTCAGAGAATGGTCAAACGTGGAGGCTGTGCTCTCTGAGAACGCCTGACAAGAGAGAAATTGTATTTTTAGATGCATAACATATACTACCATTCAAAGGTTTGAGACTGATAAGATTTTTTAAAAGTCTCTTATGCTCACCAATACTGCATTTATTTGATAAAAAATACAGTAAACTTTGTGAAACATTCTTATTCCTGTGATGGCAAAGCTGGTCACACTTTAGTTTAGGGACCAATTCTTAACAGATTATTCCTAACTAATTATTACCTATGACTTTTGCCTGGATAAACTCCTAATTTGCTGCTTATTAATAATAAGTTAGCTGTTAAGTTTAGGTATGGGGTAGGATTAAGGGATCTAAAATATGCTCATGCAGAATAAGGCATTAATATGTGCTTTATAAGTACTAATAATATGCATGCTAATAAGCAACTAGTTCATAGTGAGAATTGGTCCTTAAAATAAAGAGTTACCGCAAAGCTGAATTTTTCACAGCCATTACTCCAGTCTTCAGTGTCCATCAGAAGTCATTCTAATATGCTGATTTGACACCATTAAAAACAAAAACAAAAAACAAATAGCCAACTTGTTAAAAAATTAATTAATTCATAAAAAGAAAGATTCAGGTGTAATTCAAAAATGTAGGTTTAAGTAAATGTATGGGGAAAGTGAATAATGTTACAATATTGCATGCTCAGATAATGAATGTTTTTTTGTGTGTGTTTGTGTGTAAATGTTGTTCTTTGGACTGAATGGTTTACCTTAGCCAGGTTGTTGAAGACACTGAGGCAGCACTTGGACACCGTGATGTTCATGGTGTCTTTGGAACATATGGTGATGGCTGTGCGAGGGTCTGGCAACATAATAAAATCATCCCCAGGAACTGGACTTTTATCCCGAACAGGGTTATTCTTCATCTACACACAGAAACACAAACAAATAATCACCAACAGAACAACCTGCAACATATCTGACAGGGTGGGACTGCGGATTCATGTTTATACACAAAAGTGAAAAAAGACACGCAATTCTGCTTACATCTAATTTAAGGTTCCACCTCCGTTTGCCGTTGTCCACTCTCTCAAGCAGTGGCTCCCAAATGGCATGAGTCTCATTGAAGTAATTCACCTCCAGTGTCATATCTGCAGAGACACTGAGCAATGACGACCAGTTCTGAGCAGTACCGGTGAATGATGATTCTGCAAGCAGCAGGGGAACAGTCTGATGCCCCAAACCTGACTCCAGCGTGACCTGCACCACCTTCACGTTCATCTCAAAACTCTCTCCATCCTTACTGCTGTCCACATCCTTGAAGCTCTCAGTGACCTCGGAGGCTGTATCCACACCAAGGAACCAGTAGTTTGCATTAGCGACATTCATCAAAGACCAGAGGCTGTTTAGGTCATCTGACGTCTGCTGTGACGGCTCTTCTTTAGGTTTGGGTGCCATGGCAGCCGTGATGGTAATGACAGTGTTAAGAATCATAGGAGAGATCTGAGAGAGCAAGACCGAGAAAAAGCATGTTAGTTCAACACAGATTAGATAATATATTCCTGGGATATGCAAAACATGAGATGTTTGAACAGTACAGTACATATTTAAACAGTAACATCATCTTTGTACACACACAAAAAAATATAGGGAGCAAATACACTACAGTTCAAAAGTTTGAGATCAGTAAGATTTTTCAGAAAGAAATTAATACTTTTATTTAGTGAGGATGCAATGTATAAATCAAAAGGCACAGTAATTTAAAGACATTTACAATAGATTTCTATTTCAAATAAATGCTGTACTTTTACAGCTTGTACTGTACTTTTTGTTCTTTTATATTTCTATTCAGTCTTGAAGGAAAAAATATTTCCACAAAAAAATTAAACAGCACAATTGTTTTTAACATTGATGATAATAAGAAATGTTTCTTGAGCATCAAATCAGCATATTAGAATGATTTCTGAAGGATCATGTGACACTGGAGACTTGAGTAAGGGCTTCTAAAAATTCAGCTTCACCATCACAGAATTAAATGTTATAATATATAAAATATGCATAAAAAATAATTAAAAAAATTTAATATTTACTGTATTTTTGATCAAATAAATGCAGCCTTGGTGAGCATAAGAGACTTCTTTTAAAACCATTAAAAAATCTTACCAACCCCAAACTTTTGAAATGGTAGAATACATGTTCCTTTCAAAAAATATTAATATGGCAAACAGACAACACCCACTTTCACTATGACCTCCTCTACAGTTACTGAACCAGTTAATGGGGCATTGGTTGGCATTTTGGTCTCAAGTTCAACAGAGCATGGTCTCAGCACCTGCAGTAAAACAAATTCATGATTTGCAAAGCATTATAGACAATTGCAATTACATAGCTTGCAATACATTTTTCACTGCACCTCTTAAAGCGCAAAATAAGCATCAAACTTTATTCCTGTTGTAAAAATAGATTTAAAACAGTAGAAATCAGTAAGCATACGGTGGTCTCGGCTTTGTCACCCTCCGTCCTGATAAAGGGGCAGGCGAGAACTTTGAGGCTTCTGACGTTGGCCTTCATTGCCTGGCCCGTGTCTTCAGACAGGAGGCTAAAATTACACTGGAATGAGGCCACCAGTGCAGGAGCATCTGCCTTCATCAGGTTAGCCACAAACACAACCTCTGGGTCCACCACAACTGCTCGCAGTCTGGTTCTCGGAGCTGGTGTTGATGATAGATGAAGTATCAAATAAAATTTTGGTTTCCAAAATTTCTGAAATTAAGCGTTCCTACACTTTCGGACTGTTCCAGGCATTTCTAATTCATTGTACACACAAACATTTCTAGCTAAAAATACTTTACAACTGATCAGAAAAATATATATACCGACTAACTATTTCCATGACCATTAAGATTTTGTTAATTTATGTTGACTTTTCCAGGACTCAAAATCATATTTTTTTAAGTCCCTGACATTTCCTGGATTTCCAGAACTGTGAGAAACAAGCATTATATTTGCAGTTCTGTTTGATGCTGCTAGTGGCACAAAAATGGCACATTTAACCTCACTTAAATCACATGTTTGGACGTCAATTGTTTTTACACCCTCAATGACAAAATGTTGTTCACTTTTTTTGTGTAAATCTAGAATATTTAATGTGGCTTTGCTTAACATCTTACATTTAGCATGTAACTACTCATTCTTTCATACCTGCTTTAGGTTCACTCTGGATTTTGGGCTCTGAGATGTATTTGAGTGGCAGCTGATTGGTTTTGTCTCTCTGTGTAGGTGGACTTGAAGGCAGGGCTTGCACAAAAAAGTCGGCCACAGCCAACAGGAACTCCACGCTAGCGCACAAATAGAGCTTCTGCAGCACAGTGACCACCGAGCGCTCATCCGCACTCTGAAAGTATGTCATATCAATCATGGGCTCTGACGTCTCCTCATCACGCCTTCCCAGCATCCTACAGGGCAAAATAATACAGTGATCAGACCAGAGGGGTGAGGCCTAGAAACAGGACTGTACAACTGTTTAGTAGATGCTTTTTTCTTCTGAATCATTTTAAGTAATGTCATATTGAATAAATGTGTTTCTTAGTTGTAATCTGTTATAATTAAGAAAAAAATATGTAAAAAAAAAAATAATTTTTTCTTACATTTTTATATACATGACTTATATTGTGAAATATTATTACAATTTAAAATAACGGTTTTCTACTTTAATATATTTTAAAAAGCACTTTATCCCTGTGATGGCAAAGCTGAATTTTCAGCAACAATTACTAGTCACATGATCCTTCAGAAATCATTCTAATTTGGTACAAGTCTTAATTATACCAAACTTTTGACCAGAAATGTTTGTTTGTGTGTGTGTGTGTATATATGTGTAAACCACCTGGATGTGACTCTCTGAATACCGCTCCTCCTGTCATCTAGCGTGCATGTGGTGAGGATGGTGGAGACCTCCATGTTGCCATTAGTAAACATTTTGCCTGAAGTCTTCATTTTACACAGCATAAATTCACCTAAACACGACTGCTCCTCATGAACAGAGGGCTAGAGAAAGAGATAAAAAGAGAGAGAAACAGATATAACACTCACTTTATGAATGGACTGTAACTGTAAACAGTCACTGGTGTTCACGAATCTGTAGGCTCCATACACACCTGTGCAGGATCGTTACTGTAAAGAGTAAGGCCAAGGGACTCCACATTAAAGCTGAATTTGACACTCTCCAGCAGCTCTGTGTCCCTCAGTTTACTTTCAGACAGCTTCTCCACAAGAATCTCAGAGCCTACACAAGACACAAACAAATCGAGAACATCCTCTAGGAGAAAAATCATTATATAAAATATTTGTGTGTCCGTCTTCCCTCACCAGTCGCTGTACGTGTCCTGACAAGCACACTCTCTTGTTTGAGGGCTGCCTCTGAGCCGATTGGTGTGTCAGATTGAACACTGCTCGCCTCTCCGATGTTCTCCATCAGAATCCGCAGCAGGACAATCAGGTCATCTTGACTCAGAGCCACCTGGAAAACAGTCAGAAAATGTGAGAATCTTCATAAATTTTCCCGCAATCACTCCAATTATTGATTATTATAACCAGATCCAAGAAATGAGAAAGCTGAGAATACAGTATGTCCTGGCATAATGTGAACAGACCTTCATGGGCTTCAGATCTCCATCCACCTCTATGGCAGCCATCTTCTGGTACCATGATGCCGCCAGGTTACGTTTAACAGACAGAACAAGGTTGACTGGCTCCAACAGTTTTGAACTAGGCTGATTTGAGTCCTGCTCCATTGAAATTCTGAGAATATTGAACAAAAGGATGCATAAGAGGAAACATATATAGAGTTGTATAATGGACAGTGTTGGTCAGTAACGCATTACTTAGTAACGCGTTACTGTAATTTGATTCCTTTTTTAGTAACGGAGTAATTTAAGCGGGTATACATATATATATTATTATATATATATTTTATTCTCCTGCATCCCGCACACACGAGTGTCTATAGATGAGATGTCTTTTAGAGATTATAAATGCAGCGCTCTTTGCTGGCATTCTGCCATGCCAAACCATGCACGCAGCAGCCGCTTGCTTTAGTTAAAAATAAGTGTTCTGTGAATGTTGATGCTTTAATAACAAATATTTATCGGGAGCATGTATGCTGGGATTTCATAAATTTCATGGAGAAAAAAGTAACGTAACTAGTAATGTAACTAATTACTAATTACTTTTGAAATAAAGTAATCAGAACAGTAACGTGATTACTTTTAAAAGGAGTAAGCAGTAATCAGTCATTTGATTACATTTTCAGAGTAACTTGCCCAACACTGATAATGGACAACTAGAATGTGGGCTTTGAAAATTCATTAAATTAATTCTGTTCAGTTAATTATCAGATCTTTAAAAGGACACATATTGGATATAAAAAAGTAAGTCTGAGAATCCTAGCTTTGTGGCAATGGGCTACCTGGAAAGTTTTAGCTGTGTGAGCTGTATATCCATATTATCTATGACAGCAGGCAGCGGACGACCTTCCACTGGGAGAAGAGAGAAGCTGTTTCCCACAGTGATGAGACCCAGGTCCGCCTCCACAGCATTATGGGATGTGGAGGACTGAGGGATTATGATAAGGGGGGCCTTCAGCCTGATGTTCATGGCAAGTCTGAAACTCTTCTGAGCGAAATCCCTCACACTGGAAGCTGCTTTCTCCGCGGCCTGAGCCGTGGCGGCACTGAGAGCCTCTTTAGCTGCCTGGAAGTTATTACTGAAATTCTGTAGAGAGAAAAAGTGAAAGTATGTTAGTGTGCTTGAATCAGCAGAGAGGCTATGTGTGCAATTTAAACTCACCAGTAATGACATGAAGAATTTGTGAAGGTAGACCACTTGAATACAGCCCACGTTGAGTTTCACTTTGCCATCGACCTTTGAAGTATCTGTATACCCAGCCCCCTCAGTGGCTTTGGGTGTCAGACTCATGCTGAAGCTGAACACCTCATCGCCTACGATGGAGATGGCCTAGAGAACCAAAAATAACTGAAAATAAATAACAGATATATTGCAGTTCACTTTATCTTAAAGGGGTCATATGATGCAATTTCAAGTTTTCCTTTCTCTTTGGAGTGTTACAAGCTGATTGTGCATAGATAAGATCCCTGAAGTTGCAAAGACTAAAGTCTCAAAACCAAAGAGATATTCTTTATCAAAGTTAAGACTCTGCCACGCCTCCCTAAAACAGCTCGTTCTAACACGCCCCCACATATCTACCTCACTATGTGGAAATATTTGCATAATGCTGCCCAAATGTGCAAGCAAAGAAAGAAGGCGTGGTTTCAGTAACCGCAGTTAGTGTTGAAGCAGCCATGTCAGGGAGACGCTGTGTGCGAAAGCAAAAGCACTTTATTTGGCCTTCCGAAAGTAGATGCATTTAGGAATCTTTAAGATCACTTACAACAGAACAGCAATGCATTTTATGGACGACCGTTTCGTGAATCTTCTGCTCAGTATTCTGGTAAAGGCTTGCAAAATTGGGCCCATTTCGATCAGCCTACAAAGATAGGAATCAAACAAGGTTAAGATCTCCATTCATGGGTCCTGGAAGCTCTCAAGACCTGCTACATCTTAGTGAAGAAGTCTACACTGTAATTCTAGGATTAATAATGGAGAATCTATAATCTACCACCGTTGTGTGAAATATTACATGGACAACAACTATATATTTAATCAGAACTTGATTAGTATGCATTCATGTCTCTAGACTTTGAACAGTACACTTATGTGCGACAGACACTGCTATCTCATTTTAGAGAAAAATGGCCCTTAGGAGTTAAAAGAAGAGCCACTCCACAAATATTAAAAAAGCATAATGGCTAATGGCTGGATCTAATTGTCCTGATGCTTTGATCACGCTATGAATTCATTTGCTAACCTAAATGAATAGTTAAAAGGTAAGAGCTGTCTAGACATGAAATGTCCTGCCACTAGTCAACTGAAGCATGGATTAAAATGGTGTCACTTAACACTTAACATAAGAAGTTTTGACAATTACTGTATAGGAAGTTTTATAAATAGTGCTTTTGTGCTGATGCAATGATTGGAATTATGTGCTCGCATAAGTGTACTTCAGAAAGAAGCAGTTACCTTAAAGTACTTGACTTCAAGAAGATCTGCTCCCGACTCTGCTGAGGAACTGATTATACAGAGCGCTTCTCCATTTGAATCTGAAAATAAATAAATAAATAAATAAAAACTCATTCATTTGAACTTTTTATTTGTTTATGATTTTTTTTTTAACGAAAATATGTTGTTTTGTACTGTGAAGTTTCACAATCAAGTGCTACAAACCAGGGAAATCTAGGCATTTCATGGAGATGGTTTTAATGTATGTTGTGGCCTCCATGTCATATTTTCGAACTTTAGTGTCAATTCCAAGCTGAGCTACATGGAGAACCAAAAAGGGACACTCTTTCCCATTTTTGGACTTTGTCAACTTCAGCATAACCTACAAAGAGAGAGATACGGGATTCTCAGTCCACTCTAGATTCTTAGTCAACAAATCTGGAGTTATGACTGTAGGACAACAGAAAATAAGAACTTAAGAGAGCTTAATTACCTCCTTGATTTCAAAATTGAGCAGCACATTGACAACATTCTCAGTGAAAGCACCATTGGTCAATGCAGGTTGCGTCTCTGTCCCTACAGGAAGTGTCTCTATCAGTCCTTCATCTACAGCTTCATCTATGGAGGAAAAGAGGGTAAAGTGAAGCCCTTAAAGACAAACTTTAATGGACAAGTTTACTGACTTGAAAAGTTAAACCTTTTCATACTTTTAGCAGAAGCTTTTGTTTCCTCCACTGCAGCAGCCCTGCTTCCCTCGCCAATGTTCTCTGCTAGGATTCTCATGAGGACCCCAAAATCCTCATGGCCAAGAGCCATCTACAGAAGCCAGAAAAATACCAACCTTCAGTTTTCTCTCCTGGAAATCATGTTTGGGTTCCATTTGAAATTTTACATGAAACACTTTCACTTCATGAGAAACTCACATCCATTGACATAAGTACTCCATTGACCTCCATTCCAGGAATTTTGTTGTACCAAGTGGCAGCCAAATTACGCTTGAGTAAAAGCTCTAGATTTATGGGCTTCAGAATCTCAACATCTAGATGAGCAGCATCATGCTTCAGAACAGTCCTGAAGAAAGAAGGTCAAATAAATAAGTCAGAAAAAGTTAGAAGCCACCTCTGAAACATTCTGTAACACCAAACAGGTTGAGAACTATTTTTGTTAACTGAAATAAAGCTGAAATAAAACATAAATATTAGATAAAAAAATAAATAATAAAAATTACAAACACACAAAACAATACTTAAGCACGATTTCTTAACCCTCTATCGCATGCATTATGATAGACCTATAGAAAAAAATATTTGAATCTTTTTCTTTTCTAAGAATGGCTTAACTTGAAGTGCTGTAAAAAAAATTTGGAAAAAAATATTATTTTAAGGTACTTTATGATATGTTGCCATACGGCAACAGCATACAATAGTGGATCTAACTTAGAATAAGTGTAAGCTTACTTATAATTAATATTTTTCCTCAGAAATGTTGTTTGTGTTGATTCAATTGGTGCTATTATAAGCTTTAACAGTACTTACTTATAATTCTTGAAAGATCACCTTTTTAATGTATGAAACTTCACAAACCAGTATTTTCATCTGCAGGAAGAGCAAGTTCTGCCCTTTTCTTCTTTACCTTGCCATAGAATATGGCAAAGAAAAAAAATGCATGTCATGTGACTTAATCAAAGCACATCATTGGCTAAACTAAGGTCTTCTCTTTCCAACAGAAAAAAAACGAGAATGTTCTCTTAAAGAGACAGTGGCAAGGCAATGAACACAAAGAGTATGTTGCCATATGGCTACACCATGCGGTAGAGGGTTAAGCATAAAACTTACAACTAAGATTTAAAGGAAAACAGAAAATATAAAAATAAAAGTTAATTAAAAATATTAATATTCTATAATAGTACATTAGTATTATTAAAATAACACAGCTACGAAGAATGACCTCAACATGACACACAGTTCTTTATCTTGACTGTATAATCTGCTTTAAATCACATAAATTAATTTTGAGAGTTCTGGGGAAAATCTCCAGCTTTCTTTACTACCTAGATAGTTTGAGCTGCGTGAGTTTTACATCCATGGTCTCCAAAACTGCAGGCAATGGGAAGCCCTCAGCTGCCAGCAGTGAGAAGCTGTTTCCCACAGTGATGAGACCCAGGTCAACCACAAATGCATTATGGGATGTGGAGGACTGAGGGATTATGATAAGGGGGGCCTTCAGTCTGATGTCCATGGCAAGTCTGAAGCTCTTCTGAGCGAAATTCCTCACACTGGAAGCTGCTTTCTCCGCAGCCTGAGCCGTGGCAGCACTGAGAGCCTCTTTAGCTGCCTGGAAGTTATCCACAAACATCTATGGAAGACAACCAACAGTTAGGTTCGGCTTTGTGTGACTTGACATGGCAGTTTAGTAGAAGTGAGGGAAGGTCTTAATGTAACAGACTGGGATCCACAGTAGGGAAAATTCATGCAGGGATGTTCTAGTATTTTAAAACGCCTGAAAGCCGAATATAACAAAAAGTTGCAAATTCAGCA